TGGGAGGAGTTCGAGTCATACATGCGCCACAACTACAGTTGGTTGACCTGGCGCTGCAGTCTTGCTTGTGCAGTGGCCGTGTAAGCCGTTTGCGTGTTTGGTATGAAATTGGTAGTTACCTTGGAATTGACCGAGGAAGTGTTAGCCTTTGCTGTAGTTTTGTTTCACCGTGCATCTTTTTTAGGGACATTTTGCTGGTAGACGTCGTCGAACGTCGTCGAGGAGTTTGAGTCATACAAACGCAGCACATCGCAGCACTTATTGGCTTGCTAATTTCGAGTAGTTCAGAACCCTCAAATAGTTGCGTGTTGCGAATACATATTGAGAAAGAGCATTTGCCTTTGGGTTGACCTGTCAGGACCTAAGAGATTGTCGATCCGCCGCCATTTGTTTCACGCAGGCCTAAGCCATTTACTTTTGCGCTACGCCATATCGAGCGAACAAGTGCCTTGTGTCGGTGCATTCACAGTGGTACTCGGAGCTTGAAGGTCCGCAAGCGTGCGTTGATTGCAGCCCTTTGGGGGCCTTGATACATTGCGCTGCCCGAACTCCGCATTGCATTGTTGGTTTGTGTTGGTGATTGGTTGTGAGCTGCGCTCTATCCCAGTTGCTTGCAGCCATTACATTGCTAGGGCTACATCCTTGAAAGGTACAGCTTGTGTTTACATTGTGCACTGGTCCTTGACAGCGTCGTTGTACATTGGACATTGACTGCGTCTTTGAACTTTGTTGCACTGCATCTCCTTTTTGCTACATTGTACATTGAGCATTGCATCGTTGCACATTGACAACCTTTTTTTGTGGCTTGCTTCGCCTGCAGTTTCATCTTCGACATTTTGTTGGAGCAATGGCTGAAGACGATAAAGGTTCTTCGGCTTGGTACAAGGTACCAACGTGGGACGGAAACCCCACAGGATTCCGCCAGTTCAAGAAAGAGATGGAATGGTGGATTGCATCATTGGACCCAATTTCCTGTGGAAAATTCAATGTTGCTGCAAGGTGGACATTGAGACAAACAGGAATTGTCAGGGCCAGGTGCGAAGAGTTTCTTCCATCAGAGCTTGAGGGGTCAAAAGAAGTGACAGCTAAAGACCCCGATACTGGCGATGATATAGTTGTTGAGGAAGCCAACCCTTGGAAAGGGCTTCGAAAGTTGGTTGATGCATTGGAAGAGTCGATGGGCAAAACGACTCTCGACCGCAAAGGTGATCTTCGTCGACAATTTTATGTTGAGTTGAGGCGATCGCCTGGAGAACGAATCAGTGCATTTTGTTCCAGGTTCAGAACAATCACTTCGGAGCTCAAAAGGGAAGGCATTAATTTGCCTTCCGATGAATTGGGCTGGTTCCTGAGGAACAAGTTGGGATTGGATACGTTGAGAGTTCAGTTGTTGGACGCTGCATTGCGCGGCCGGGAATCATATGAAGAAGTTGAGGGTGAATGCTTGAGATTGTTTCGTGACCTCCATAGTGAGGACCCTCTTCATCGCCAAAAGGCCACAGAGCGTGCACCGTTGTTGAACAGATTCCTCAACCAGTCCCAAGGTTCAGCCTCCTCTTCCTATAGAACCTCATTGCCGTCGAGTGGAGGTTCGTCCTTTGGCAGTCGGTCGTTCAAGAGTTCCAGCTTTTCAGGTGGCTCACAAAGGAGTTTCAAACCTACTCCAAAAGCTCCACCTCGAAGTGCCTTGGTGACTGAGGGCCCAGTTGAAGAGATTGCCGAGGGCGAGGAGGATGAGGAAGAACTTGTTCCGGACCATCCGGATCAGATCGGACCGGCCTTGGAGGAGGTGCTCACTGCCGAGGCGGAGGTTCTTGCCGCCGAGATCCAAGCCTTGGAGGAAGAAGGACTTGAACCAGATGTCCTTGAGGCCTTGGAATCAGGCGTTGAGCAGGCAGCCGAGTCATGCGTGAGGCACGCCGCAAGATCGCCGAGATCAAAAAGGATCGAGGATATGGTAAACAGGGATCCTCGTCCATGCCGAACAAGCCCAAGTTTACGGGCAATCAAGTGAATGGCAAGAAAGCCAAATCCAGTTGCTGGGATTGCGGACAGCAAGGGCATTGGAGTGGTGACCATGGATGCCCAAACCCCGGTGCTGGTTTGTTCAAGCCGAAATCCAATTCGGCAAAGCCTCAAAAGCATGTTAGAGTTGCTGAAGCGTTGACCACCGAGATGGCGGTGGATGCTGATGTTGATGACACCCCAGCCCACGAGGTGATGACCACCTCCCGGGTTAGTCGACCGTCGACCTTGGCCGAAGCATTGCAAGGGTCGCATGAGGTTCATGTTGGACAGTTAGCTTCGCTTTCTTTGGACAAACGTTTGATGGGAGCGTTGGATTCAGCTTGTAACCGGACATGTTGTGGGTCGGCGTGGGTTGAGCATTATTTAGCAGCTTTGCAATCGGCACCTGAGGCTATTCAACAGCTGGTCAGCCGAAGCCAGGAGCAGGAGACGTTCAAGTTCGGTGACGGTGGAACACAGAAGAGTTCAGTTCGGATTCGCCTTCCCATGGTTGTCGGCACGGACCTGGTTTTGACATGGGTATCCATTATTCCTGTGGGGAGTCTTGGGTTGTTGCTGGGACGTGACTGGTTGGATGGCGTTGGATGCGTTTTGAGCTTTTCGAAGAGAGTTATGCGAGCAGATCACTTGAGTGGACATCACATCCCCTTGAAACAATTAGCTGCAGGACATTTTGCACTACGGCTCATCCCCTCGGAGTGGCCGATTCCAGGCAAGATGCGTTGGCGAAGAGTTGGGCAGGATGGTGTTGTCGCTTTGCAAATTTCACATTCAGATTGGCTTCAACGAAAATTGTTAGCAGCGCAATCGTTGTCAACAAATAGTCATGAGCATTTGTTGTCGGAACACAGCGTTTGTGCAGCAAAGCTTGTTGGAGTGAGTTTTGATGATGGAAGCTGTTTTGATGACTTGGCTCCTAGCATGACTCAAAAGCCAACGGCAACCCCAACATCGACTACCTCGACTTCGCGTTCACCCAATCGAGCCGCTGCTCTTGGGATCCATGGAGGAGGCACCCGAAGGCCGCTTCGCCTTCCAGTGGAGGAGGATCATCCTCCGTCTCCGTGCAAGACTCCTATGGCACGTGCACGGCATTTGCTTATGGTTATGTCGGCGGCCTTGGCTTCGATACACGCCATTTCCATACCCTTCCATCAGCAGCATCATGCAATGGCAGCTTCAAGCCCAGCAAATGGTTTCCAACGGAGCCATGTCCAGACGCCATCATCAAAGAGCTCTTCAATGCCAGGCGTACACAGCTGGAAACTTGAAGGAAGCTATGTGGCTCAGGGATCGCCTTGGATGGCAGACATCCTTCGTGGAGGACCCGATGCTGCAGGGTATGCTGGCCGCAAGGTCTTCAAAAGGAGTGGCGAGCAAGATTCGTCAAGAAGCCGTGGCAGAAGCCAAAGCATTGGCCAGCAAGGCCAAAGAGGAGGGCAAGGAGCTTCAAGCGGTGAGGGAACTCATCGGCCCAAAAGGAGGTTTACCGGCTCTCAAAGCCGACCTCCAGAAGCTGGCATCATTGCTTCACGTCTCGTTCAACGAGAAGACGACTGTCGAGCAGCTCAAAGCAGGCATCAAGCCTGTGGTTCAAGCACTCATGGCAAAAGCTCCAGCGTCATCGATGACCAGCAGTTCAAGTGGAGCAAGTTTTCAGGAGGAGCCTCCGAAGCCTTCCAAAGCTCCATCCTTGGGAGAGCTCTGCCAGGACCTGCACCGTCGACGCCTTCGACTACAGTCGGGAGCCTTGGGACAGGAGTCAAAATGCAAGATGTTCAAGAACTTCTTTCGCAACAAGATCAACAGTTCCAGGCAATGCTGAGTCAGGTCATGACCCATATGATGTCCTTGCAGGGGAGTCAAATGCCTGTGGGGATTCAGACTCAGGGCACCATGCGCTACGACCTGACCGCCAAAGATTCCGAGATGGACGGCCACATGACGCATGGATGGACTCAGCAGGAGATTGCAGCCGCCCAAGAGGGAGGATTCATGACCCCCGAAAAAATGCGGAGGTTGAATTGGGAAGTTCAAGGAGACTTGAGGCAGGACGAAGAGGATCTGCTCAAGGGGCCGTTCCTGAACCATTGAATTCATGGGCAGTGCATCAGGAGTTGAAGCCAGGTTTGGCGCAGATGATCAGCCAGGCTTGGGAAAAACATTGCCGGGATCGCGCTCTGATATCAAAGACACGCTATGAAGTTCTCCAAACAATGCACGAGGATTGGAATCACACCATGTCGAAATGCTTCAACGAGCACTTCATCATGAGGGTCGAGATTGGTCCTTCTAAGGGTCCGGCAAGGCGCCAAACAGCTGGTGCGGTGGCTCAAGCCCAGCGGCCTTCGCCCGACCCGCGGGGGATCAAGAAAGGCCCGGACAAACCACCTTTGGTTGGTGAGATCTACACGGCTACAAGCCAGGTTGCTCGACAGGCCAAACTTCGAGGACACCGTGCTGCCACTTCCATGTCGCTTGAAAGTGGTTGGGATTTCCAAAAGGCCGAGGACAGAAAAGCTTGCATTCGAAAGGTCATGGAGGAGGACCCCTTTTGTTTAGTGCTTGCATTTCCATGTGGGCCGTGGTCACCGCTCACACGTCTTCGTGCCAGCTCCACATTGGACGAGAGGCGACAACAGGGTAGAGTTTTGTTGAACTTTGCACTTTTGTTGGCCCGGATTCGGATGAAGAGAGGAGCACATGTTTTGTTGGAGAATCCGCGTTGTTCTTTAGCATGGAGCCTTCCGGAGCTTGCGCAATTTGTTGAGCAGCCCAACATTGAGTGTGTTGATTTTGATCAGTGTGCATTCAAGTTGAGAAGCGTTGATGGTTTGTTGCACAAGAAGCCTACGAGGATTGCCACATCATCATCATGCATTGCTGATGAACTCCAAGGCATGGTGTGCTCCCGAGACCATGCACACCAGCCGGTTATTGGTGGCTCCAAAATCACCAGTCGAGCAGGGCATTATCCGGTTGCTCTTGCGAAGGCCATTGTCAGAGGTCTTGAGAAACAGTTTCATGTTGATCATGGCCGCTGCCGAGAGGTGCTTGCAGTTGATGGGGCGGAGGAGGAACGGTCAGATGATGGAGGAGATTCGGTGATGGACCCCTTCAATTCTGAGTCAGAGATTTCTTCCATGGATGAGGAAGGGTCATCAGAGACAAAGATCCCTTCAGCCATTCGCCTAGCTGTCAAGCGTTTGAGAACACTGGACACAGGTCAAACAGACGCCTGGCCCGAGCTTTGGTGTTGTCAGGAGCTCCCAAGGAGGTGGTGTTGGCTGCCAAATCCTTGAAGTGCAGTATTTGCGATGAAAAGAAACGCCCGAAGAGCAGGAGGCCGACTTCTTTGCCCACGCCAAAAGATGTCTCCGACCAGGTCCACCTGGATATCTTTGAAAGCGTTGATGTTTCAGAACAACGTTTCTACATTGTGCATTGTATTGATTGGACCAGTCGTTTTCAGATGGCAGAAGTTCTGGAGACAAAAGACTCTGATAGCATTGTCAACTGGTTCCAAGAGAGGTGGATGAGCATATTTGGCCCACCACGGGTCATTGTCGCTGACCAAGGGCGCGAGTTCGTGTCCTGGGTTTTCCAAGAGATGTGCGACCGCCATTCAATCCTTTTGCACCACATCCCAGTGCAGGCACCATGGTGCAATGGTGTATGTGAGAGAGGAGGTGGGATACTGAAAGGTTTGCTGGAGTGTTGCGTCAAGAGTCGTTCAGTTGCAGGGCTTGCAGACATGAAAGTTGCGTTGCAAGAGTGCGTGTTAGCATACAATGCAGATATCAATGAACTTGGTGTCAGTCCAGCACAAGCAGCGATTGGTCGACAGCCACGGATGATTGGCGATGTTCTTGGAAACTTTGGTCAGAGGTTGGCAGAGCATGGTTTGATAGATGGCCGCCCTTCATTGGCCAGACAAGTCGCCCTTCGTGAGACAGCCCGCATTGCAATGACGCGACTCCACTTTTCCAAATGGATTCGCAAGGCAGAATTGGCAAGGTCTAGAAGCTCCACGATGACACAACAGCTGGAGCCGGGTGACATTGTGTATTTTTGGAGGGAGCCCAAATACAATTCTCGCACTTCGCCTTCCAAGAAGCGGTTGTCATTGAGGAGATGGCGTGGGCCAGCTTTGTTGGTGGCGTTGGAAGGGCATAATGCAGGATATGTGTCCTTCAAGGGACAGCTGTCGAAACAGATTTCAGCTGATGTTTGGCATGATGCAATACAAGAGTGTGTTGAGGCAGCATTACATGATGCCAGCCGCTCCCGAAACGGAGCCCTTTCATGATTTGCCTCCAGTTGCACCAGCCGAGGTTATTCAAGCCCTCGATGGCAGTCGGTTGGATTTTGGAAGTGAGTTGCCAGCATCCAATTTGAGTCGAAGAGCATCAGCTATGTCCTCAGCTGCTCGTGCACATTCAAGGCAATCGAGTGGTGCAGCACCTGGCACACCCGTGCCTGCCTTGATCACCGGTGCCAGTCAGGTTCCGGGTACCCCACCTTTGAGCAGCCGAATGGAGGAGTCAGTTGAAGCGGCCCGAGAGCTTGAGGCCATGGGCAGGAAACGTGCAGCAGAGCTGGAAGCTGAAACACTTCGTGAAGGTTCTGGTTTTGAGGCTCATGTTGCCACCACAGTGCTCAAGAGCATATTGAAGACCAAGAATGACTTAGTGTCACAGTATGCCAAAGCTCACAAGAATGACAGTCCCGTGGAGCCACAGTCACCACACTATGTGGACACCCTGGAAGCTGACATTCGTGATGGGTTGATGCACCCGTTGAAAGCCATACAGCAGCAAGTCGACCGTGACAAGCAAAGCCCAGAGCTGGTTGAAGTACAGGATCATGGGAGCTGGTCAGGTCAGTGGCCTTTGCCGTCCAGGAGCTCTTGGATGGCACATGAAACGTGCTGCGCGCTGTGGCCTTCTGGTGGACACGAAGTCAATGCAGCGAAAACCGCCAGACGTGAGGTCAAGTGGAGGAACATTCCCCTTCACGAGCGTGATGCCTACCGCCAAGCTGCGGAAACAGGATGGAAAGTGCAGACCGACAATGGAGCGTTCGAGATTTTGACAGATGCTGAAGCTCACAAGGTCAGAGCCCGGTTGAAGGCAGCAGGACAGTTGAACAAAATCTTGACTCCCAGGTACATCTACACCGATAAGAATGACGGGTTGAGGTCGGACAGCAATCCACTACCGTTGCTTGCAAATGCCCGGGTTGTCATCCCGGGATATCAGGACGAGACTGCATATGCTGTGCGCAAAGATGCGCCAACAAGTTCAAGATGTTCACAACATATCTTGTTCATTACAGCTGCAGCCAAAGGATGGACATTATGGTCAGCAGACGTAAAATCGGCATTCCTCAAAGGAGAGTTGTTCCAAGAGGGCGAACGTGAGTTATACATTGGAAACATCAGGGCTACGTCGCCAGATGAGCCGTTGTTGCCCTTCAGCCCTCACGGACTAGCCAAAGTCCGGAAAGGAGTGTTCGGATTAGCTGACTCGCCCAGACGTTGGTATTTGCGTTTGAACAAGTCATTGACAAAACTTGGTTGGTTGCGAAGCAGCATGGATGCAGCGCAATGGTTCCTCAAGAGTCCCGATGGAACATTGGATGGGATCGTCGTGAGCCACGTCGATGACCTGCTCAGGGCCGGAACGGCCAAAGCCCATGCGACACTCAAGGCATTGGGTGAAGAGTTGGGTTTCGGTTCATTGGAAACTGGCAGCTTCACATATTGTGGAAAGTTGGTGCAACAGTTGCCTGAGAAAAGCATTGAAGTTAGCGTGCGTGCATATCACGAAAACATGCAGCCAGTTTCCGTGCCCATTCACCGCAAGAAGCAGTTGGATGCACAGCTCACACCTTCAGAGCATCGCCAGTTGAGGGCGATCTTGGGGAGTTTACAATGGGTTGTGGCCCAAGTGCGTTGGGACATGGGGTATCAGTTGAGTGTCCTACAAGGAGAGCCTTCGGTTGTCAAGACCCTTTTGAGGGCCAATGCATTGGTGAGGTTGATGAAACAAGATGCTGGTTTCAAGTTGAAGTTCGGGCCCATGTGCTTGGATGGTGCCGGCATCCTCATTGTTTCGGATGCGTCGTTGGGGAACGTGACCCGTTCCGGAGGAGCTGACGGGAGCATTTTCACCAAAGTGTTTAGCCAAGCGGCTTACCTTGTGTTGGTTGGCGATCGAGACCTCATGGAGGGCCGTGAAGGAAAGTTTGGAGTATTAGACTCCAGGAGCCATCGCTTGAGCAGAGTGTGCCGATCCACATTCGGCGCCGAATTGCTCGGTACAGAGGAGGCATTTGATGCTGGCTTGTTTTGTCGAGGCCTCTTTGCAGAAGCCCAAGGCTTTGATGTGTTGAGAGGAGACAGTTGCTATGCTGGCAGCGTGCCCCTTGGCTTGGTGTCGGACGCCAAGGACGTGTTCGACAAGAGTGTGTCGGATACACCGACCTATGGAAGCCAAAAATCTTTGGCTTTCTCGGTTGCATGGGTTCGTGAGGTGCTCCGCAAAGATTGCACCAGGATCCATTGGACATCGACGGAGAACATGCTCATAGACTGCGGCACCAAAGAGATGAATGCAACGCATTTGAAAACGGTTTTGGACCGGGGCAGTTGGAGCATTACATACAATCCCAGCTATGTCAAGCAAACTTTGAAGCCTACAAAGCCCTTGCTGGCAAAAGCTCGGAACTCCGTCCTTCCAGGCCGCGTGTTGAGTGGGGATGACCCCATCCTGAGCCACTTACAGAAGTTGGCCGAGCGACCGGGTTGGCATGTCCAGCCTCCGTATGGCATACACGTATGCCGGAACGCCGTCTTGTTTCGGACCCCCAATCCACGATTCTCAAAAGAACAATACCCACTCCGGACTTCGTATGGTAGGTTCGACAACGAGCTTCAAGCGGAATGGAGAATCCTGGAAGACAAGGTCAGGGACGGGAAGCTAGAAAAGATAGGCGACACCGCCTCAGTGCTGGTCACATTCTTTGGTCCTGAAAGCCAAAACCCCAAAGATCAACAGAAGAAGGGATCCGCTGAGAAAGAGCATTTGCCTTTGGGTTGACCTGTCAGGACCTAAGAGATTGTCGATCCGCCGCCATTTGTTTCACGCAGGCCTAAGCCATTTACTTTTGCGCTACGCCATATCGAGCGAACAAGTGCCTTGTGTCGGTGCGTTCACACATATCATATTTGGGAGTGGGTGAAAACCAAGCACCCTCAAACACATTGTAGCTTAAGATCTGGAGTTTTGCTTCCAGGTCTCTTTTTGGATGTCCGGGTGTCATCAACTTCTTCATGTCCTTCTCCCCCTCCCATTGGACGGGCTTCGCCTTCGGAGCCCTTGAGACCGGTGAAGCCGGTCGCTTAGGCGGTGAGAAGTGCGATAGTGCTGTGCGGCTGAGTCAGTGCATTCGAGCCTTTGCAGTCCTAGGCCGGGAGCCCAAGACTTGGTGTTCAGGCTGCGAGCCATGGGATCTGAAGGATACAAGTTGATCCAACATGATGCAAATGTCTCGGATGGAAATCCCAATGGGATAAGTCCAAGGATTGCGAATTCCGCACAGTCCACCCAGTGGATCTGACGGCTTAAAGCTCAAACCTTTCCACCTTTCAATGGGTTCAAGAGCAATTTGTCGGTGGCTGGAGCGTCACTCTGGGCTTGTGGCCCGATGTCACTTGCGGGTGGATATACTCTATACAAAAAGAAGCTACGAGTAACTTGTAACAAAGGGCATATCTACTAGGAGCAGGGACGCTACTAGTAGCTCCTGGCATTACTACTAGGAACAAGAAGCTACTAGTGACAAGAAGCTATGTCGAAATCTTAGTCCTTGGAGCCGCCCTGGAAGTCTTAAAGCACCAACTGTTGCCCTTTTAGCCAGGGATCTTTGAGTTGACCACTTTGACACACGGCAAATCCATGAAATCTCTAGATGACACAGAAGACATGGGCTGAACCTCAATAAGGTACAAAGATCCAAGTCAGGAATTTATGTTCAAGTTTTGCCCAGTACCAGTACCCTTGTAAAGCCCATATACTGTATACAGTATACATATGTTTGACCCTCCCTTCGCAGACTGAGCAGATTGGTCTGAGGCAAGTCGCAGTTGTCTCCCGCCCAATTGGCCGCTGCACAGCTGGTGCAGGGAGACTGGAGTGGCAGCCAGGGACGTGCGCAGCTGGCGAAGGCCGACCAAAGAAGATGCTTCAACCTAAGATCACTCCATCCTGGAAAGCCAGTCCCAACCAGAAATGAATGGATGTTTGACGAGCTGGTTTCTGGACTTCCTCGTGACACAGGGTCAAGGTGGGGATTGCCAGGTGTTGGAGCTGGCGAGCCAGAACTCCGAGTGGGCCTTGGGCCAGGAAGAGGAGGTGCAGGAGACGCCTTCCGGAAGCTTCGATCGCTTTGCGATCGTTTGGCATGAAAAAAGCGACTAAAAGCGACCTGGGTGTGATAGAAGATCAGGGAAGACTTACATGAGGTTGGTGGCGTCGCAGGCCTCCAGGCCTCCTGGCTTTGAAGGGGCGAATGCTCCTCTCCCCGAAAAGCCGTCCAGGAGAAGAGTGTCGCGCCAGACGAGTGCATCGTCTTCCGACAGCTTCGAGAAAGAAAAGGTGGTGCTGGACCCACAGGCCGCCAAGTCGGAAAAGCCAACTGAGCGACCAACATGACACCCCCAAATGTATGATTGCAACAATCCAGTATTATAGATGTTCTACATTGTTCTACCAGATTTTGGCCGTATGTCAACTGGAGGCCTGCTTCGTGATGGGACGAGCGCCAGCTTGAACTGAAGCTCCGAAATTTGAAATAAATGCTGATATAATCAAAGTTATGAAGCACCCTGCAGCTCGGTGCTTGCTTCATGTTGTCAACACCCCTGCGGACGGCTGCGGCAGGCGGCATGGATGACGATGAGGACTTCCATGCTGCGCGGGGCGCTACCATCGCGCAGGCTGCGGCGGATGGCGCTCTCTTTGCGGAGCGCCTGGCCAAGGCCAGGTGTCGAGGATTTGGGCGGATCACGTTGGGCCCGCGAGAAAGAAACTCGGGTCGGGTGCTGTTGGTAGAACCGTTGGTGCGGCGAAATACAGTGCGAGGTGCAGCAGATGACAGGCCTGGCAGACCCTGTCTATGTGGAAGCGTTCCTCCAGGCGAGATGTGATGCAGCGGCTCCCACCCACCCACCCACCCGCCCCGCCCGCTCACCCGCCCACCCAGCCACCCACAAAGAACCAAGCAACCAAAACAACAATACGACCCCAGCTGGAAATCTCCACAACTTACGCTGCAAGCATTGGGTATTCATTCCCCCAGTCTCAAGTCCAGCAAAGGATCCCTGCCATTCGCATGTGATTTGAGACACCTCTTGCAAATGAGGGGATGGAAGGTCACCGGTGACTTTCTACCCTTTCTTCCTGACAGTTTCAAGGAGAGGGTCTCTTGGAACATCCTGGACGAATCACAAATCATACACTTTTCACTGCCCGCAAGAATTTGGATGCCCTTGGACGAGGAGGGAGGAAGAGAGTGGGTGCATTCATACTATTGCGTGTTTTTTATTTATCCGCACAGAGCGGGAATATCCAGCAACAGTGGATGTGCCTGAGAAGTGGCTAATTCTGAAACCACATACACGTGTTGGGAAGATCATCACTTGGACAGGTTTTGGCCACCGCCCTTTTGAAGCTACCTTTTTGACACTGCACAAGTTGTGATCCACTGTTGGTGTGCAAACGAGTAGTTTCCAGGATCCTTCTATGACCCGGCGCACCTTTTTTGAGGTGGATGACTCGCTTAACGACGACACCCGAGATTTGCAGCTCTTTTTGGCTGCGAAAGCTTCCACTTTTCAGGTCCACTCCTTCGACCTGATGTTGGAGCTTTTAGTGGTGAACCGAACCAATGAGACGCTGCAGAATGTCCTGGTCGAGCTCAGCACGCAGGTGGAAGCAAAATGAAGCACCCATATGGTGTTGAAAACACATAACCCCCCAATTCGATTGTAAAACCTCTGCAGGCTTGGGGGGTTGAAATAGAATTGAGCAAGAGTCTACATTAGGTGTCACTTAAGAATGCACTTGTTACTTATGGCTTCTAGCTACTACGCTACTAGTAGTAATGCCCTTGTTACTAGTAGCGATGCACTTGTCCTTTGCATCCCTTCTCAAAAAGAAGTCAGACTCGCTGGCGACGTGACTCCTCGACCGTCAGGGGGACCTGAAGCTCGTGGATCGACCGTCAGCAGTGACGCTTTCAGCAGGTGAGAAATCTTTGTGTGGTGCCGGTTGCTTTGTGTTCAAGGTTTGACAGGTGAAGTGAGAGAGTGACACGACCCGCGGAGGCCAGCAAATGACGCTGCATGCTTCAATCAAGGCCAGCTTGAGTGTTTTACAGCAGGTCAGAAGACCATAGCTACACAATGAAAGGTCGGAATATGTTGGGATGTTTATTTCATTGGCACTGCCTACGGAATTTGCCCCAAACTGAATTGGTTTAGACGTGTTTAGACCACGCCTTCAATGAATCGTCGGCGCTGATCTCGGAGGTTGCGTCCACTGAAACGGGCATCATCTTTGGATACGTCACCTTCGAAAAGAAGAGTGCTGCACCTTGGTTCAAGCAGTTTGACATGTGTGGCAGAATGCTTTTGCAGCTGAAGTATCAGCTGAACGCTGCCTTGCTGCCCTTCGATTCTTGTTGGATTGAATGGGTCTTCGAGCATTTGCGAGCCCATCTTCCAGATGCCAATTGAACCTGAGCATCCTTAGTTGGGAGTCCGAAAGATCTGGATGCGTCCGGAAGATCTGGAAGCCGAATCTGACTTCTGGTTTTGGGTGTGAACCGGAAGCAATGCTCGAAGCCGGAGGACCCGAAGTCCATTCAAAAGCACAAGCGGATGGTACCTGGACGCTCCATAGTACCCCCTAGAAAATGGGACATGTTGGACAGGACCCTATAGACAGGTCCTTGTACCATCTTGTACCCATTTTCTGAGGTACATGCCTCCAGGCAATATATGTATATATATATATATACGTATATGGGATACTGAATCATGGATCAGATGATCATCCAGAGCCTTTTGTCACCTGTGCCTGAAAGAGTCTTGCTCTCTTTTCCAGTCATAGATAGAGTAGAGCGTACAGCTGCAGGAGACCGAAGGTCCCCCTCAAACACGGGATGCGTTGCGTGAGTTGTGTGAGCTGCAACATCTGAGGCAGATAAGGAGTGCTCAGCGAGATTCTCAGCACTTGATACTTTGTATCACTACAAGGAAGGTGCAGTTGTGAAGTGTGCGGTGCAGCTTTTTCGTCTCCCCTGTTTGGATTGCCGATTTCAGGCTTGTTCTTTGGTGATCTTTGGTGGGTCCCACCATTTTGAACCCGCTTCTGAATGATCCTTTGTGTTTAGGTCCTGAACGAACTGCACGTGGATATCCTAGATTATATCGAGCGCCGCTTGGCCGTCGGCGACGGGGCAATTCCTCCGCCTCCTCCGGAGCGGAAAAGGCAGCGATCCGAAGCTGGAAGGGAGACTATGGAGGACTTCTAGAGAAGCAGTCTCTAAAGTACATGCGCTAGTAGGGACTTTGTGAAGAGGATCCATACATGACTATATGACTATGATGTTGGGAGGCCCTTCACTGAACATTTTCCACCGAGCTCCCTTTTGAGCCAGTGTGATGTCTCCTGTTAGTGCCGCTGCTTCCCTCACAGGGCCGAGTTCCGGCCCAGGTTCGTGGATCAACGAGCTGGCCTTCCGTACGATGTGGTCCGAATTTGAGTGGGAGAACAAGGTCAACATCAACACCTCCATCACTGAGGCGGGACAACGACGCTCCAGAGGGGTTCCGCGGACAAAAACGGTTCTTAAATGGAGGCTCGCTTCCGTTTTTGGTGATTTGATGTGATTTGCGAGGAGAATGAACAAAAAGGCCCTTTTTGATCCTTTTTGCATTTTTTTGGAAGGGGATTGGAATCGGGAGGCCCTTTTTCTGCTTGGACGCCCGGACTGTTCAGGAGTTGGTCCTAAGACTTCGGGCGTGTCGTGTAGTTTCCATCTTTGACTGCTCCACCGCTGGTTTAGCGGGTCACTCCGGGTAAGTGTCCGCAAGATCTTGGACTTGGCTGAGGTGGGCACCTTTCTGGAGCACATCATGCGAAATACCAATATGTCGATTGTGGGAAGAAGCTACAAGAAGACTGGCCCAGAGCATAGAGGGACATAGATGAAGCCATGCAGATGTTGGATGTTGAAAGGATGTTGTGTTCATTTTCTTGAGACTCTACAAGTCAGACGGGTGAAGACTCAGCGCTGATGTTCAGATCTCTCTAGATTGGTGGGTGGTTCTTTGTAATTACTTTTCTTTGCTTGAATCCAAACACGCTGAGGTGAAAAGAACCAGAAAAAGGGCAAACTCACTGCAGAAGATGTGCAAGATATGCTTCGAGATGCTGTTGGGATACTTGGGTGCAAGAAAAAGGCCAGCCATACCTTTGTGGGCAACCTTGGTTGAGCAAACTAATCTGCGTGGATTCTGCGAAAAAGTTCACGAAGACGGGTGCACTGGACTGCTTGCCATAATACATTTTTTGACAGACTGCCATGGTGGGGTCATGTCAAACTAAGCCACATGGGCACTCCCAGAGCCAAGGATTAAGAAGCTCATCGACACATCTAGCTTTGTGGCAGTGAATCTCTATGCCAAGTCGATTTTCGGTGAGGACACCTCTCACGTGCAAGCTCAATGCCCGCAAAAGAGATTGAGATGTTTTTGCTTGTTTTTCACTTCAGATAGTTACCAGCTGTGGTTTAAGATGGTTGAAGACGAGAGCTGTGCCAACAGAGCTGGCAAACATACATTTTGTCCTAAGAAACTTGTATTTGCCAAGTATTTGTTGACCAAAGGGGCCGTCCATGTTTCATGCCAAAGACACTGTGGGTGGTGCTCACAGGATGCGCTCGCGAACATCTCCATCGAGAAGCTTCCCGATGGGAAGCTCACAGGCGGAACGGCGAGTCGTTGGAACGATGGGGTTCTGATTCCAAAATCCAGGAGTCGAAGTTTCTTTTGGGCCGTGGTTCATTGGGGAAGAAAGGAAGACAGTATAAAGAAGAAAAGCCAAGCAAAACAAAACACATAACTTTAAGAACAACAAATGATTTGCAGTCCTTTCTGCCCTCTCCGCCATGAACCGACCATCCTTTGGTGACGAATTGGGTCGGACCTAAAACAGCCATCCTCATGCAGTAACCTGGATTCGATTTCGCGAGCCCCTCGGGACGCTCTTGGAGGCAAAGCTCCCCAGCGAGGATTGAGATGTGGGTTTGAGACCTTCCAACCAATGAGTTTTGCGGCTTTGCTTCTTTTCATGCCCCAGCCTTGGGCAGACTGAAGCTCTCCAGCTTAAGCGCGAGAGCCACAGAACAGCCTCTAGACTCTACTTGCAATCACACCAACCAATGGGTTGAGTCTGTTTTTTGGATCTTTGGGAAGATGCCTAAAAAAGGGCATAGGCATAGGGTGTCTCCCAAGTAAAAGACATACCCATGTTGTGGGAGACTCTGCCTGGAAACCCAGTCCAAACCGGAAACACATGGTTGTTCCATGTTGTTCCAACATGGCAATTGAGATCCTTTACATTACAAAGTGGTTGGGACTGTGGACAGGTCCATGGATCTTTCTGGTCTTCTACTTGGCTTTCCAGGTGTTGTTTGCACCCAACCGAGACTCTGCGCTGGCAGGTAGCTGCCGCATTCGATCGCGGACCCAGGGCATTGCGCTGTCATTGGGCGATCGTATTACCATCGTCCAGCGGGGTGTCCAGGCATGGGCCAGTGAGGTTTGAAGAGCTGAAACCGGCGTTTGCAGGCAGAAACCAGAAGGGAGGAAGACTGAAAACCATCAGGTGCTAGCTTTGGGCCCCGCAAGCCCACACCAGTCTTGGCAACATTGAAGTCGGCTCTGTACAAAGGGGCATGTGGCATGTCCAATAGATTTTCTTGGTTCAGAATTTTGCCATCCTAGTATGTCTTCATCAGCATCGCAAGATTCAACAAACCCAACTTCAGTCATGCTTTGTCCAAGGCTGCACAGAGTAGCTGGTTTTCATCACCCAAACTGCCGCAGGTCGCGAGAGAATGAGCCACTTCTTGCAGCCTAGCCGAACCTGGCTGGTCTTTTCAAAGGCAGGTGATGCGCTGGCTCGGAGATGCCAAGTGCATGGTGGTAGTTCTAATGTTAAGTTTCCCTAAAAATCTAGGAACCAAATCATTAGTGCGAGCGCTTCTTCAAGAAGCGCGAGCTATCCTGCGCCGGTAGTGGCTACCTAGCTACTACTAGCTAGAGTAGTACTAGCTACCTACCTAGCTAACCTACCGACCTAGCTATCTCCACGGCCTGGCTACCCCCCGCTGCCTTAAAAAAAGGGCATGGTGCTCGGGTTGACTCCCAAACTAGTCAACGAGATGCTAGGTTCTCCAGCGGACGGTAGCAGAGTTGATCTACTTGGGCTTCAAGTCGGGCCCCTTTTTGTGGCGATTTTTGTAAAGAGGGCCAATGGGCATTTCTTGTTTAACAAAGGCCTGACTGTGTCTGGACCATCATTGTCCGAGAGCAAGACCTTTTGGTTCAGTCTCGGACGAAGGCACACTAGACTCCAGCAGGGTACCCAAGAGCGCCCCAGCGGGCACGACATCTTGTCTTTCGAGAAGATTTTGATCCTCAAACCAGTTCTCCCATCTTCTCGATGAAATGCCTGTGGCGTTTGCTCTTATACTGTAGCAGTTCTGAGCAGTTATGTTTTGGAGTCCCATCCAGGGTGGATCAAAACTTAGGCAACCCCTTTCAGGCCTTGCTTCCGTTCGTTAGGGCACCTGCATGGAGCATCCTGGAACCCCCCAACCAACTCGAGTCCTAACCCTTCCTGGTCTTGGTGATAATCCATCAGTCATTTGGAGCGTCCCTCCGTTGGTGTTTCTTGGGAGGCTGCGACCGGAAGGCCAAGGCGAAAGAAAGCAAAAAGATGGGTCATTCAGGGCAGGGACCAGGGACTTAGCAAGGTGGGTTGGGTGAGTGTGTGCGTGTGGGTGTGTGGTGGACGAAAAGAATACATTGCGTCTAAGGCTTGGGAGAAGATCATGTGATAATTTGTGGGCATCAATATCTTTCTTGCATGAGACTCTGGTGTTTTCGTCTCCTCCTATGAGTTCTGCTGGTCGTTGCAGACGCCTGCTTACCGCAGCTGTGGCCGGACCCCCCCGCATATATGACCTAGCGATGATTTAGCTGAAAAAGAATCAGCGATGGACGATGGATAAGTCTTCTTGGCTTGCTGCTATCTGAACATTCATGATTCCAAAGCTCTTGCCTCATTAGTGTTCTTTTTTCTCGGTTTAATCCGATCGGCCAAAGTCCTGGGCTCGAAACTGCAACGGTCCCGAAAGGGGCTTCTAATTCGAGTCTTCCTGAGCAAGAGAAATACGTGTCGAGGGAAGAGGATCTCTGCAGAACCTGTGCGCTCAAGCTGTTGGGCTCAACGGATCTCAGGTATATACCCTAGGCTTCGGCCCACAATTGTTTTACCAAGGATTTTAGACTTGAAACCAGCGCAGCCATTTTCAACATAGTCTTGGAAGGCCAGGATATACACAACAGCATGTTGATTTTTGACATAATATGACTCACTTGCTCGTCTCGAGGGGCGAAGCTCGAAGTATATGCAACCTGGACCTGACATGGTTCGTACCCGAACAAACATGGTGACCTGAACCAAAGACAGGCACGAACGATATCGAACGATGGTACTTGTACTTTTCTGAGGTACAAACCAAGACTCCAGGTATCAATGCTCTGAGGGCCTTTCCGATTTCGCTCCTTTTGCATTTTTGCCATGCTCCGCATGCTCCGCTGCTGGTTCTATCATCATGTGTGCCTTCTGCTTCTACCAGGTTCGGAGGAGGGTTCAAAGTGAAGAATGTTGAGATTCCGATTTGATGGCTTTGCTCTTCTCATCCAGCCCTTTCAAGCCAATCTCAGTTATTTTTGCTCCAGGCATGTTTCCATTCGGCTCAGACTCCTTCAAAGTGTTGTTTCATTGGATGATCTGCAATCCAACCAAAAGGATCGCTCCTTCTCGGCTCCCGCGGCTGGCAGGTGTTCTGGCACTTGGAGAGAATCCAGCCTGTTGGGTCAACTGGGAGGCGCCTATGGACTCCAGGAAACGGATCAAATTGAAGAGAGTTTACTCTTCTTTTCATTTTGGTTGGATAAAGTCGAGTTCCGCAACTGCGCAGGATTCCGCAACTAGGATTCCGCAACTGTTTGGTCGGATTCCGCAACTGGGATTCCGCAACTGGGATTCCGAAACTAGGATTCCGCAACTAGGATTCCCCAACTAGAATTCCGCAACTAGGATTCCGCAACTAGGATTCCGAAACTAGGATTCCGCAACTGTCAAGATTCCGCAACTAGGATTCCGCAACTAGGATTCTGCAACTGGGATTCCGCAACTGGCGTTCCACAACTAGGATTCCGCAACATTGTGGACTCCATCACTAGGATTCCACAACTTTGTGAATGATGAGGGACACGATGGGGACAAGGGGGGGTTGGGGGTTGGGGGGGGGGGGGGGTTTGGGGGGGGGGCTAATGACGTTGGTTGGGATGTGCTTCGAAGGTGATGTCACAGGCACACATGCTATCGCATGATGTGGAGATCACCAGTTGCAAGTTTCAGAAGGCAAGTTGCAGAATCTGACTTTCCAGTTTCAGAATACCAGTTGCAGAATCTGACTTTCCAGTTTCAGAATACAAGTTTCAGAATCCCAGTTTCAGAATCCTAGTTTCAGAACACCAGTTTCAGAATCCTAGTTTCAGAACCCCAGTTTCAGAATACCAGTTTCAGAATCCAAGTTTGAGAACCCTAGTTTCAGAACCCCAGTTTCAGAACCCTAGCTCCAGAATCCGACCGATTAGTTTCCGAATCCGGCTCTAACCGCTCCTTTTGGTTTTGTTTGTTATTTCACGGGGTTTCGAAGCGTTCGAGAGGGCCTGGAGAACAGGAACGAACTTCGGTTCAAATGGATCATCGGAGGCACAGAAGATACAGGAAACCGGCGCGGAGTGGTGGTGTTTGCCCGCGACCGATGATTTCGATTGTGGGGTGGTGTCTTTCCGAGGCAGGTTGAAACAGGGCTTTTGGACGCAAGTCAGGTCAACATCACTGAAGAGAATGGTGTTACGAGACAAGGCGATGCCTGCGAAGAGTCTTGGCCATGGTTTGTAGGTAAGAGAAAACCATCAAAAACCAATAGGTTGATATGAAGCCAAGCTTTGCCCAAGCTGTTACAAAGCTTTAAAGGACATAATACATGCAGGTCTTCCGGTGCAGGACACAATAATTAATCGTTCTGCTGCTGGCAGCTTTTAACATTTAAAACTCACCAAACCACAAAAAGTGAAAGTTATTTTTACAGGTAGCAAAGGCATGGGCAGCGATCATCCAAGGAATATCTTGTCGTGACCTTGCTGCTTCTTGGCAAAACAGCATTGAACATTAGTGTATTCGAGCTGGAACGGCGGTAACTTGCCGTTCTGGGTCCTTCAACTTCTGAGGAACGTGGCAGTCTTTTTCCTGATGTTCTGGTTCCTGGTGCGCTTTGCCGTGCAGCAGACACAGTGGCTCGGCCATGCCCTGGAGTATTATTTTTGTCTTCTTTGATCCCTCACCCTCCCTTTTCCGCTTATGATATCTTTTTTTTGAGATAGTTTTCACTCTCTCTTGAGCGCACAAGGTGAGCTGCCAAATTGACCCGGAAAGACGCGCCGGACTCGGACGCGGCTTCGCTCCCACGCGCTCCGCTAGCTGAGCCGGATGGACTGGGTGCAGTGAGCTGGGGAGGGGCAGAGCAAGGAGGACTTCACCCGAAAGCAGGGCCACATGCTGTGCAGGTCGTATGGCAGGGACTCGGGCGCCGACATGGCATGTGGCTTTGGAGTCCACAGAGTGGGGAATGAGGCGAGAAAGATGCGTAATTACTGAAGCGCTGCAGGGCTTGGATGTCACATCATTGAGGTAAAATAAACATTTGTAACAAAAGACTCTTACAGGAACCTAGTATCATGGTGGATGGATGTCACCACTTGGTTGTCAAACCTCTTGTTGTGTTTATCGCCGCAGCTTGGCTCGCAACCACTTTGTTTGAGCCGTTTCATATGAGTCTCGATGATCGGCCTCTTTCTTGCACTGTTTGTGAGACGCTACTAGGAGCAAAGGGCATCGCTACTATATAGGAGCAAGGACGCTACTAGGGGCTCCTGGCCTTACTACTAGGAGCAAGAAGCTACTGGTAAGAAAGGGCACCGCTACTAGGAGCAACCTTCAAGTTTGGCCTTGGACTTGTAAAATCTTGTGACTTGTTTCTTTGGGTGATCCCTTGTTTGCCACGGCCTGTTGGCCTTGCCTAGCCTTTGGTGCGACCAAATTTTCGGAGCTTTGAGCTTTAGGCCGAAATCAATTCGTAGAAGAGGATCCAGGAGCGATTCCCTTTCAAAAGTATGATCTGCCTGAGACTTAAGCCAACTCTTTGCTGCACATCACACATCGTGTCTGCCTGCACTTCCGAGGAACCGACTGTTTCTGAGAACGAACTTTCGCCAGCCATGGCATCCATGAAGGCGGACCGCCAGCCATGACGGTCTCTAAGGTGGTTTCGTAGGTTTTTGGTTCCTGAATTTTACACCTTTGCCCGAAGCAACAGGCCTTGGCCTTGGCTTTGATGATGTCTTGGGTCTTGGCAGTGGAAGAGGCCGACATGTCTGAAGGCAGGGATTTTGGGTGGTGATGTGCAATTGGAAGCGGTTGCTTGGATCTCTTGGATTTCAATCATTGAAAAAAGGATGAAGTTTCGGTTTGGGCCAATCTCAAAGACTCAGACAGGCACCCCCAAGTCACCAAGCTGATGTTCTCATTTGCCTTTTCTACTTGCAAGTGGTGATTTGAAAGGGATGATGACTGAATGTGAGGCTGTTCCACCCAATAGTGTCCTTCCAAGAGGTAAATCACTTGCTTGGCTCAGATCCATCTGCATGCATGGCTCTACTTCAAGTCACCCAAGAGCGCTTGAAGCCTGGGCGCCAAGTGCACGTGCGGACGTTGGCTCCCTCGGTGGCCTCAAGTGGGTTGTCTGATTTGTCCACGATTGGATGATCCTCGAAAGGCCAAGACAGGCACTTTCGCTGGGGTCTTGAGTATTTGAATGGCGATACGATTTTTCCTCACTTGTAAGGTTCCAGACTTGGGCGGATAAGCAACGAAGGCTTTACCCTCTATCATCTCTATCCAACAAACAAAGACGTGGCAACCCCCGGATTATCATACAAAAAAAGTGGTCTTCCATGGTAGACCCCAAAAACCATTGATTTTGCTTTCAGCAGCACTGGGGATGATCCCAGCTTTGCAAAGAAACGGCCTGTTCCATGTTCGATGTGCGTCTCTTCATCCAGATCTGTGCATGGGCCGTTTGAAACAAAGTAAGATAAAAACAGCAATATGTATATATAATATATACATATACTTCCGCGGCCCAAGTTCCATTCCATTTCTGTCCACTCCGCTAAGGAAGCCGGAGGTGCCTCCGACTCCACCACCGTTGCTGTCCTCAGATCCGTTGCCTGCCCACCGGGTGGAGCACATCCACCTGCTTTCGGAGACGCCCTTCTGGTGGATGATGGGTGTGGTGATTATGCTGGTCACAGTGGTGGTCGTCAGGCCGAAAAGAGATAGAAACGACGGACACATGGAGATCATGGGGATGTTTCTTGCGAAGAGGGGCAGAAACCGTGGGGGAGCAGAGCATCTCCGGATGGCCGAGCTTGATTGTCTCTCTGTTTGGGGGATGACTGGAGCACCCCCGTAATCCAGAAATCGATGACATATTTTTTTTAAATATTGTGAAATACATTGAAGTGAAATCACAAGGCTTGAAGACACAAAGAGATGTATCAGAGACCTTTTACGGTCCCAATTGGTTTAGTAATTTTCCCTGCTGAGGATCTGGCCAAAGGTCTCCAGATTCTAAGATTCTAAGACTTATACAGAGTCTGTCACAGTTCAGCAGTGCTTCACCTGAGCCCACCATGAAGTTGGAATGCGCTCCTGGTACTGTTGGGGTGGTTGGTCAAACGTCAAGTGGGGTCATTCTTGGCCTTGGCCCTGTTCTTTTGGCAAGATGACGGACACCCTTTACAAGATGAGGAGTCCCTAAATTCGTTCGTTTCAGCTGCTGCAAGTGGTTCGACAGCTTGAGCTCCTTCCAAAGGCTTCGGGATCGCCTTTGGAGTGCAAACCCAAACCCTCCAATGACGAAACCTCCACCCTGAGACCGAGACCAAATGTTCCACCAGGCCATGCTTGGACTCTCCAGGACCCCGTCCGCCAGGACCGAAGTTCAGCAGACCACTTCCAACGCGGCCGAGGACGGACGGAGCCGGTCCGCGGTTCGGGTGGAAGATGCATGGAATGTGGACTTTGTACAAGGGGAATGGACGCATTTTTTTGGCACATTATTTTTTTAAGATGGGGATGCCAAGCTGGAGACCGCGAGATGATGCATTGGGTGCTGCTCGGATCCTACCCTTGGCATGAAGAAAAGCCGCTGGAGGGTCGAAGGAACGGTCAAAGCATCGACAACAGCTCGGGGGCACTCTGTCTTTCTACGAAACTATATAGCTAGGCTAGATTTATGAAGTTGATTTATGAAACTTTCATGAAGCGTTTGCAAAGCGCCATGATCAATTTCGGACTGGCATTTTTTGGCTGAACAGAACTTTTTCATTGACGTCTTGGCTTTCTCTCAGGAAGAGACCTTCGAAGCAGAGCAAAGTTGCAGAGCTGCACACAATTTTGGATCACCTCGTCAGTTCGGGGAGCGACAAGTCACAGATTCTGTGGGAGATTGCCGGGAAGTCAAAGCAGCAAATGCGAGGCTCTACATTCCTGGCCAAGATGTGCCCCCAAAACCAACCCCTATGCCACCTATAATGATCAACTTGCATGTTTCGCAATTGCACGGTCCAATCAGCCTCACTTCCCGAGGCAAGGTCGAGAAACCTGAGAAGCGACTGGTCAATGGCGAATGTGCAGGCAACGCACCAACCACTGATGTGAAGTCTCTTGAGAGTCCCTCAGCCCGGACTCCTAGTGGTCCTTGCGGTCGGTCTAGTTGCTGCTGCTGTGTGCAAAAAAGGACTGGCGGCATGCGGTGCCATGGTTTCCGCACAATCTCCTACCTGCACTAACCCGGTGTATGAGAAGGGGCGTGTCATCCTGTTTCTGACTGAGGAGCCGCCCGCTGGTGGCCGGAAGGCGGAGGAACTGCTTTTTGACGGACCCATTGGGGGCGGGGGATGGAGTGTGCTTGCTGGCTGGCTGGCTTGCTTGCTTGCTTGGTTGGTTGCTTGGTTTTTGAGCAGAAAGGATGGCTTTTGTTGAGAGCTATTGATGGTGGTGGTTAACATATTTTTTCAGGCATTTTTTTTCAATTTTTGTGAGGATGAAGGGAGACAAGCTCATGGTGCCACCCTTTTACAAAAGTCTTTTCCTTGCAGATGAGGGTGGTCAAGAAACCTGCTCGACGTTTGTAGCAGGTGCACCCAAATGACAAAGAATGCATGGCAGTCGGGAGAGGTCTCAGACTGCAAGATGACCACTCCTGGTCTCCTAGTCCTAGTCTAGTCCATTATAGGGCTGATGACTATTGAATCGATCACGTTGCAAGAATTCCAGAATTCACATTCCCCACAGAGCCCTACTGTTGACGGAAGATACCCTGCACTGCGTTGGGTAGGGAAAGACCTTAGTGCTTTTGGACCATTCAGGTAGTGAGGACTTCTTCCGTCAACGGTAATTCGTTTGCACTGGTTAAGCATGTCATTTTGGACTTCTTTGATGGCCTGGCCCGCCACTTTTTGCTGCCACCAAAGAAGGTGGAAGCCTGTTTGTGCCAACAGGGCGATCCACATATGACACTTGTCTTGCAGAAATCAATTACGATAGGAGCAGATGTTCTGAAAGGAGTTTCGTGGCAATCCATCCATCCATCCATCCATCCATCCATCCATCCATCCAACAATCAATCGATCAGTTGAGCTTTGACTTGATTTGATATTATCTAACCCAACCTAATCAGTAATCTACAGTAGTCTAGCTAGCTATCCATGTCTGTGAGTCTTGGATGCAGGAGTTCACAATGTACTACTCCTACGAATCCATCCAGAAGCTGGTTTTCTGCTTCATGGCTGCCTCCTCAGAGATGTTCTTCAGCGCGATTTCGTGCAGGGACATTCCACAGTTCATTGTGTAGCAACTTGTGTGACCTTTTGAATCTGCCCGAACATCCCTGACCCAATGACCACTGAATGAGATAAGCGGTTCCCTTGGTGAGACCTGATTCTTCAGTTTTCAGGGCAGTTTCCCTGAGTGGCGCGGACTAAGTCGCCATTTAGCCTTGTTGCCATTTGAGTGGATTGACCATGGAGATCCTCCATAGTTGGATCGCACGAAAGGCTCTTTCGAGTCTACTTCGTGCTTCGAAGGCCTTGAACATGAGCATGATTCTTTGGGGTATTGCGCAGGACCGGTCTTGAAGTCGACTGATGGTCTCGGTGCAGTTTTCGGAGAAAAAGGAAGATGCAACTCTAAGTGCTTCGTCGTCCAGTCGTCCGGTCGGTTGGGGTCCTTTACTAGGGGGGAAATCTTCGGACTCCAACAGGAACGCATCCCAGGCCGCATCCATCCGCATCCGGTTTATTGGGCCTCTCTGTTTGCCCTATGGTGTGGGGCCACTCCACTCTCAGCCCTCGAGAGAGGAGTTCATCATGACCAACGTGTACTATGACCGGGACGGGCAAGTGAGGGAGCTGCCCTCCGCACTGTTTCTGGTGCTTGCCAATCGTGCCTCGGTGCTATCGAACATGAACACTGTTGGCCGGATAGACACGGCAGGTGTTTCATCGTCGTCATCATCATCATCCTCGTCGTCGTCGTCATTATTCTTTGGTTTCCTGTTCTGTCCTTTCCTTTCCTTTCCCTCCCTTGCATTGCCTTACCTTTCCTTCTTGCTTTCTGAACACTCGTCAAGTGACGATAAGTGTGGATTAGCCATTCTGGAGGTCCCACCCCACACGGACGAAAGAGCCTGCCAGAGAAAAGCTTTGGGCTAGTGGATAGCAAAAAGGGCAGATGCTTGTTCGATGGAGCATTCTCAAGCTGTCCAGCCTTGAAAGCCAAGTGCGGCGAATTGCCGTCGGCACAGACCGCCAGGCACGGCTGCTTATATTACCCATGCCTAGTTGGCTGTGCCAGTTGTCGCCAGAAACAACAACGACGACGACCACCACAACAACAACATCTTCTTCTTCTTCTTCTTCTCACGCACTCGAAGAGTACCGCCGCCCTACGGTCATCGCTTAACCGGACTCCTTGGTGGAGAACCTTTCACTGTACTATGAGCCCAATGCTCATCAATCTGCTGTTCAATCGCATACAGCCGTCAGGCCGTCAGGTTGCGGTCACAAGGCCAGTCGTTTGGCCGGACTCTAAAGCTCAAGATGCAGGTTCAGAAGGCCAGCAAATGGGGTCCGACTCTTCAAGAACCCTAGAACAAAATCAACAACTAGATCATTCAAGATCAGGTGACCCGGTCCAAAATCAACATCGTTGAGACGGATCGACTAAAATGGAGAAAAAGGCCCATCCCAAGGTCAGAAGCCACCACGGCCACGCCCGGCACCGCTGCACAGGCTAGGAGGTTGCCATGCCCCAGCAGCTCATCAGCGGCTGCCCGCAGCAGCAGCATCTGTATCAGCCAAGACACGTTCAATGGACTCATCTGCGGCTTTCAAGCGCAGGAGAAGCGAATGCAGTGCTGAGCCCTCCAAGGGGCCATCGGAGGTATCGCCTCCCGGATGATTCCTCATGGCCAAGGAGCCAGGTCCAGTCACCCCTCCAGGTGAGGGTCGTGCTGCCAAGGCTCTGTTGTGCGAGTCATCGCACAATGGCAAGCTATGTGGCGGACCAGGTTCAGCCAAGAAGGTGGTAGGGGCTCGCTCCTCATCGGCCAATGCCACCATCTGCATGCGTCCCTCAGTCTCCACAGCAATCGACCCTGTCTGAGGGTCGGTGGTAGCAGGAACCAGCTTTGGAGGGAGCATAGCTTCCACAGAAGCCTGCAATCCTAAGTGTGACTGGGTGAAGGAGGCAGACTCATCCTTAGTGTGCTCATCTTCCGAGGACTCTGCCGTGCATGCCAATGCCCAGAAAAGAACACCTCTCGTGTGAAAGAAATCCGGGATGGTATCTACTTCCTGTGGGGCATGGTTGTCATCACAAAGCAGAAGTCGATCAGTCTGGGGGTCTCTCAGCAAAGCCCTGAAGTGACCACCAATGGAGGTTTGCAGATGTGCCACAGCAGCTGTCACCCTGTAGGGAACCCAGCTGAGGTCCAGTCCCTCATTGAGGAAAAAGGGCAAGTAGAACACCTCCTCAAATGCCACGTAGTTGAAATGACCTAGCAGGCGTTTGCAGTCAATCAACCGATCGAGGAAGAAGACCTTTGGGCCCATGGGGCCTGTGAAGGCTGTCGACAGAGTCACTTTTTCAGCATCCAGCTCATAGAGGTGAACCAGTGCTACCGGCTGTGTGTCACTGCCAGCCTCAAAACAGATGATCCCAGCTGAGGTAGCAAGCCGTCTTTCCCATGCCTGTGATGTCTGCATGGATTGGCACCACTGAAGTGCCTCGGTCGTGAACTCCCCCGAAAAAGTTCAGCCGAGTGTGGAAGGCTAAACAATGCAAGTGGCTCATCTGTCCTTACAGATTGAAGCATCCTCTGCACGGCTGTCCAAGCCGTACTTGAAGTGTACTCATCAAAGTGTGAGGAGTGCAAAAGTGTCCAAACCATGGTGATCAAGCCCGCATTCAGGTAGCACCAGTTGGCATCATTATTGCAGCTCATGATGCGGATCGTTTCAATCCATTGAAGCCCCGCGTGGGTGAAGGCTCTTGGATCGGAATTGCAAGCTAGCCCTGCAGCTAGTGGCCCTTCATCGTCATCGCCATCGTCACCAGTACCATCATCATCACCTCCTCCTCCTGCTTCTTCTTTTTCTTCTTCATCAAAGTCTTTCTATCTCCCTCTAATTATAGCCAACTCGACTGCCGCTGTGCCCGCCGACAAGCCGTTAGGAAGATCGTGATCGGAAGCGGAGACCAGAAACCCACCAGCGTCATAATTTCTCGACTAGACTCTTTCAAACCTTGTATCCTGTTGTCATGTCCGAACTTGATTTTGTTTTCTTTCTAGTCAAGAGCAATAAGTCTGCAGGGTTGGATAGTGCCCCTTCTGAAAACTTCAAGTGGCTGGACTCTTCTAACCGTCAACTCGTGCTGACTGCCGCAAACCAACGTTTCGCTGACGGGGATATGCCTTCTCATCATCTCAAAACGCTGGTGGTCTCCATTACAAAAAGGGGGACTCCTCTCAGCCCTCCAACTATTGCCCTATATCTCTCTCTCTCTCTCTCTCTCTCAACCTCTTGGTATAAACTTATTGCTGAGTTGGTGAAAGAGCGGCTGGGTAAAGCTTTAGATGCGTGGCTGATGAAGACGCAATATGGCTTCAGGAAAGCTCGAAGCACTGCTCAAGCCATTTTCTTGGCAAGAAGGATCCCGGATTTAGGATTTGTCCGAAAAATCAATCTGTGCCAGGACCCTGATCACGAAATCTAGCACCAGCTAGCTGGAGTTGTCCTTGCTTTAGCAAGTGAGGGGCTGGAATCCTCGAGATCGCCGCATCACGTGAAAACTTCATTTGTAGAGGGCCCCCCCCCCCGCGCCTCCTTCAAACTGAGTGGATTTCCCTATTTGCCTTTTGCACAGGGTTTGGAACATTATAGATTCAACGGCATTGTTTCGACTCAAACTCAAACTCTGGAGCCTCTATATATTGAAAGCTCTTGTGAATGAGCTCTTGGCACAGTGCGAGTCAGGCACCAAGAGCCTGTTGTTCTGTGACACACCTCGAGTACCACAACATTTGATAAATATGGCAGACGCATGCCAGGTGGATCGGTCAACTCTTTTTACCAATTGGCCTAAATGAAAGCCCATGTCAAGTGACTCTTATATTTTGTTTTAGATGCATGAACGTTCTGTCTTTCAGTCTTCACACAGGCTGGTGCAGTTTGGCCTTGTGAGGCATTTTTACCATGGCCTTCTCTGCATTTCTCCTGTGGACACGTGAGCAGCCCTTGCTCTTCCCTGGTTGCATTGATGCCGTTTGGCCGGCGGATCCTTGGTGCTTGCATTCTTTTTCCGGGATCGCTGAACGTGAGGTACACGCGAAGGTGAGGAAAGTCTCATAGCTTTCATGGTTTCATTCACATATTCATACGGGCCAAGGCCAGGCTCACGTGAGTCGATGTTTTTGAGTTTCCGACAGAAGTGGTGAGGATTTGCGCTTCCGCACGCATCCTCCCCTGTTATGGACGATGTTGTGTTGGGACAGGACCTCGTGGCCATCCGCAGCTCTGAGGTCAGCAACACCTGCGCGTCCTGGTCCCAGTATTCCAGTCACTTGGCGCAGTTCAAGCATGTTCAAGCCATTTGGGTGCGAGTTTTAATTTTCACCGAATCTTCGACCAAGGTTTGGGCTACATCTCTTTTGGTCTCCAGACCACCGCCAAGAGCGTGAAGATCTTGCCTGTGGTCACTTGGTAATCTGCATTGGACTATATCAGTGGAGACACCAGGGGGGGAAGTAAAAACCATTCATTTGTCAAGCTTCGTTAGGGTCTGGGTTTGGACCTCTGGACTCAGATTCGCTCCGGCGAAGCGAGCAGCCCTTTACTCATTTGGATAGAGGAAGATTCTCTGTCTGATATTGGAGGTTCTCCATTCTGCTCATACATGGGAGGCGAACGAATTACTTGGCAGGCTTTCTGAGTTTTTTGTGGGATTTTGTAGGTCTGTTTCGAAAACTGGTCCAATCCACGTGGTTGCCGAAGTCACCAGGAGCTTCGCTGATTGAAGGCCCACCTAAACGAGCGGCACTCGTTGTGCGCACTGGATTTTTTTGATCGTCTACCGGAAAACACTTTGCCTGACGGACCATTTCGCTGTTGACCTGTTGTCGTTCACCTGCCTGCCCTCAGGTCATCATTAGCTCCTTGCGGGGGAAATATCACTCCCTCACTGACTATGCGGAATGTTTGGTGCTGGCCTGTGCTTGCTTTGTGTTTGGCCACGAGAGCGAGTCCGAGTCTGATAGTCTCACGACAGTGGCAGGCCGAGGGGCAGAGATGGAGGTCGCGAAAGCCGGGGTGAAACGGGAATACCAGCAAGGTGTGGTGAATATCTTGATCCCCTATGGGCAACTTAGAATCTGGTGGAGTTCTTTTGATTCCAGTCTGTACTACCTGGCTACTTTTTGAGGCGCCCCAAGATTGACTTAGGAAACGAAGTTGCAACCTGAGGAGAAAGAGGTGCATGGCGTGCGACAGCCAAAGCATTTCACGCCGTGCGTTCTTGTCCTTACCATGACTTGTCGGAGTGAAAAGGAAGATTGCATGTGGTCTTCTCCTTGTTTCACTTGTTGTTTGCTCCACGGACGCACGAAGGGCATTCGTGCTTTTCGGCAGAAGAAATTTGGATTCGTCATGCGTTCAAAGACATGTTTCTTGCCCTTGCAAACTAGCTGAACATGTCCTGACCAGGAAGTGAAGTGCCCGACTTAACATGACTTCTTCGTTTTTGGCCGTTTGGAAATTGCAGATCCAACATGAGTGCTGTGGAGATGAGCGCGAGGTGTGCTGCTTCTCTTGGCGTTCATTGTTTGCGACTCGGTGACCCCTCATTTGCAAGATATCCTTTTCCAGAAACACAAGGACCCACCGAGAGGGCGAGGGGGCGAGGGCGAAGGCGGGCGAAGGACAGGAGGGCTTCTCCAGCCAAAGAAGGAGGGCGAATGCGGCCAAGATGTCTGCCAAAAATCATCCGTCTCAAAAATCAGGGGTGTTAGTGGGATTAAGAAACTGGTGGGATTTCTCCACTATGGAGAAGTAGCAAGATGATCGACACAAGACTCGTGGACATCACGGGAAACATGAACATCTCATGATGTCGCATGAGTGATTTCGCCAGGAGATTGACGTTGTTCAGGCAACTTTTGCCATGTCCAGCATGGCCGTTGTGATGATGCTCATCGAGTGACTGGGGTGCACGGACGGTGCGTTTATACGAAGAGAAAGAAGTCATTGTTTCATATGGGGAAACAATTTTTGCGTGAAAAGAGGAAAACGTTTTAGACTGGTAGACTTGTTGATATTAGTGTTATGAACTATACATATACATACAGACAGACAGACCAGACAGACAGACAGACAGACAGACAGACAGACAGACCGACCGACCGACCGACCGACCGACCGACCGACCGACCGACCGAC